ACAGCAATAGAAAGTTGCCAGTTTCGTTTTCAGGGCTGCATAGTATTCCATTACTTATATATGCCCTATTTTGTGGAACTTGTCCCTTGTTGATGGGCTTGTTTTGATTGTTTCTAATCTGTTAATTATCCAAACACTATGGCAGTAACTATGGATAGATGGTGGAGAATTAGCAGAAGCTACAAGTGGGCCAATGAGTCATAATTAAAAGAAAAATCTTAAATGTACTCAGGACATTAGTTTCTGTGCTAAATAAGTAAAAGCCCTGGTGGGTTTGGACCTGTCGGGGAGCTGAGAGCTGGTGGGGGGCACTCTGATCTGCCTGCTTGAGGCGGGACCCAGGATGCAGGGCTGAGGGTGAAGAGGGACAGTAGGGGTGTGGAAGGGGAGACCTTTCTGAGTTTAGGGGTGTGGAGGGGAGGAGAGCAGCCAGGAGAGGGGAAGGACTTCAGAAGATGGCAGCTGTGCTGGCCTTGGGCAGGTCCTGCTAATACAGGCCGCTTTAGTTTTGGAGGGCGGGGACCCAGTGCTGGTCTGCAGCCTGTGACCTCGAAGGACAGCCTGACTAGGGCTGCCCGGCTGCCTGAGTGCACAGTGGAGGCCTCCGGTCCCCACCACAGGCGCCAGGCGTGTGCTGAGGCTCTGCGTTCTGCAGACCGAGAAGCCGAGAGAGGTTAGGCCGGTGCCTGGGCTGCACCGCCGGGCATGTGCGGGCTCACAGGCGAGACAGCTGCCTCCAGCCAGAGCTGTCCCTTTCTGCCGCTCTCAGGCCAGCTCACACCGGGCCCTTCCTTCCTGCGCGCCCCTGGCCCATGTCCTCCAGCTTCTCTGAACCCACCCACCCTGTTCTGCTGTGACCCAGCTCCCCCGGGGAATCCGGGTGCTCAGGGGACCGGGGCTGCCTTGCCCTCGCTGGGGCAGGAGCTGCAGCGGCCAGGGGAGAGTGCGCATGGCTGCTCCAGGACCTTGTCCTGGTCGGCCTTCTCTGTGGGCCCGAGGGCACAGCCTCTCTAGACTGGGGGAGAGGGCACTTCGTTTGCTAAGGCAGCTTCGGCCACCAGGACCTCGGGCCTGAGGCTTCTCAGGACGTAGGTCACAGCAGGCCAGGGGGCTCCGAGTGTGTGCTGTGTGCAGAGATACGTGTGTATGTGTGTGTGTGTGTGTGTGTGTACTGCGTGCGCATCGTGTGCACTACAGTCTCAAAGCTGTAATTCTTTGAAACCACCTCTCGGTGTCTCTGGGTGGCGAAGAGTTTGCAGGCTTGCAGCCACTGGTCCTCCGGACAGGAGAGGGGCCCCTAGGGAGGCCAGGGCATCCCAGCACTAAGACCGCAGCGGCCCCGGCCCGCGCCCGCCCGTCGGGGAGGAGGGAGTGTCCGGCTCCACCAGGTGGCGCTAGAGCCCCGCGCATCCGCGCCTCAGACCGGGCGGGCGCCCAAGGATCCAGGCTCCTATGCGCCAGCTTCGGCCCTCAGTCCTCCGTCTTCCTGTCTGCAAGGCTCTGCTTCTTTCTGGAGTCATGTAAAGAGCTGAGCTCCGAACCCCTGCACAGACTTTCTCTCTCCGAAAAGGCCTCCCTGGACTTTAAGCCTCTCTCCTTCCCCTGAATTCTGCAGGCTCAGAGCTTCGGGGGCAGCAACCATGGTCCAGGCTCCGGCTATTTCAGTGGCTCTGCCCTGCTCTGTACCGGGTCCCAGCCAGGGAGAGAAGACCCCTCCCCTCCCCCAGCTTCCCCTCCCCCAGCTCCCCCCCCCACCCCCCCCCCGCTGTGCAGTGCTGGCCACTGAACTGAGGGCCCCGACACAGGCCAGTGCTCCACCACTGAGCTCCAGCTCAGCTCTTTTTCCTTCCTTTCTTCTTGCTTTTAATTTTTGTGTGGTTGAACCCAGGACCTTCTCACTGAGCACATTCCCATTCTTTTTTATTTTTTTATTTGGAGGCCAGGTCTCCCTAAGAGTTACCCAGGCTGACTCTAACTTGTGATCCTCCTGCCTCAGCTTCCCAGAGTGCAGGAATTACCAGTGTGCATCCCTGCACCCACCTGGCGTCAGCCTGCTTTAGGTGCTGCTTTCTCAGTGAGGGGTCTGGAGGTCTCTCCAAAGGGTAGTCCTACTTTCTGAATGTGTCATTCTGCCCAGCCCTGGAAGGAAGGATTTCCTAAATGACTCTGTCTTCTCTTCTAAGGCAGAGGTCCCTTCCTTCCTTCCTTCTTCCCTCTCTTCCTCCCTCCTTCCTTCCTTGCCACATCCTAACCCAGTCCTGTAGCACGCCAGGAAGAAGCAGCCTGGGTCTTGCCGGCCCCCCAGACCTGAGCCTCGGGGATCCCGGCTCGCCGCAGATGGCGTCAATACCGCTGTCCGCCGACAGGAGGCGCCAATGTCCCCGAAACCTGGGTGGCTGATGCTTCACTGCTGATGGGATTCCTATCTTGTTTGCAGCTGTGGCTTCAAAGCACCACCCCCTCTTTTCCCAGGTGTGGGGGAGGGCAGCTCAGGGAGGGCAGTGGGCTTGCAGGGGGTCCACTCATGCCCTCTAGAGTTGGGGAAGCCTGGTGCCGACCAGCTCCCAGTGCACTCGCGGGCCCAGCTAACTGTGCTCCCTGCTCCAGAGGAAAAATGGGAGCAGGCAGGGTGCTGATCTGCTTTGTTAGCCTGTTTTTCTCCCGCAGGGAGCCCATCGGGTCCAGGAGGGTGGGACTCGTGTTGTGATAACGGCCCCTCCTCCAGGGTTCGCTGGGGTGATCCCAACTCCTGAGGGCAGTGGGGCCCACAGGACCCAGGGCCCACTCTCACCAGTGGCTCTTAGGGGCCCTTGCTCGAATCAAGTCAGGGTGACTAAGGCGAGTGGAAAGGCAGAGCTATGCATCAGGGCCACTTGTTAGGTGACCCCTCAGTAAATGGTGACTGTATCATTTCCCATCACTGTAACAAAATACCTGGGCCCAATATTTTGTAAAGGAAAAATGCTGGTTTAGCCCACAGTTTTGGAGGCTAAAATTCCAAAGAGCCTGGGCAGGTCCTCTGAGGGCCCACTTGGCTGAGACAGGAAGTCCCAGGGAACACTGGGGAAGGGCGTACTCGGTTCCTTACGATACTCTCTTGGAAGATGAACTAAGGTCCAAGAAGAAAATCATCAGTGCTTAACAAGGGCCATGTGACTTTCCCATAAGGCCCCACCGGTTAACAATTCCACACCCATTTCAGCGCTGCTACACTGAGGGCCCAGTTCCTGACACTGTGTCCATGCCTGATATGTGCCCTTCAGGCTGGACATGAACCAACTCTCCTGGTACCTACAGTCTGTGTCAGTATTAGTTACTTATCTATTTGTAGGACAAAATACCTCATTGCCCTCAACTGAAAGGAGGAGAGATTGGTTTGGCTCATGGTTTCCGTAGGGTCAATCCATGGTTTCTGTCTCCAGGACACAAACAGCATGGCAAAGGGGCATAGAGGAAGACAGATGTTTGACCCATGGTAGCTGGGGAGTAGGGTGCATGTGTGACAAAAGCACAGGGACACAGAAAGAAAGAAATAGAGGACGGGATGTGAATGAGAATAAATGGGGACAAGAACGTACCACCCTCTAGGTCACATCCCCAGTGACCCAACTCCAGTCTCATAGCTTATTCAGCCTTGAGCTCATCAGTGGATTAATCCACCATGAATATAGTGCCCCCGTGACCCAGTCATCTTCCAAGGAGCCCAGATCTTGAATTCGTGAGGCTTTTGGGGGGACATTTTCAATCTAACCCATAATAATCTCCAATGCTCCAGATATGAGATTAAGTTTTTACAAAGTGTTGGGCAGCCACAGAGGTAACTCTGGACTCATCTGAATTTCCAGGGTCGGAGCCTGGGCTGACCCAGAATCATCCAGATTCTGACCCACACTGAAGTGTGAGAACCAGCACCCCAAGGCCACACCCCCCTTGGTGGGTTGGCTTTCTCAGTGAGAGACGCACTCCTTATGACCTCTCTGTCGGCTCAGGCTTTGGCTTACGATCTCCAATCTCTGCATCTCTCTCCCACCTCTTCAGTGTGTCCTTCACGCCTACAGTGGGCTCATCTTGCTCACCAGATCTCTCTTATTTCCTGCCTCACTCGTACAGCTTCTTTGCATCTCAACCACTGCAAAAAATCCAAACTCATCTCTGCCAAAGAACTGCCAGGATTCGCCTGCCCCTCGCTGGCACTGTAGCTGTGTGCAGCTCCACACTGCGTCCCCCACGTGATGAGCTCTGCCACGACTCTGTGTCTCCGGTGCCCTCCTGTTTGCTTGCACCTGGGAAGTCACCTGTCTGGAGTCTCTTAGTCTCAGTTCTCCCTGCAGAGGGTCCCATCCTTCGGGACCTACATGGCTGACTTCCCATGAACTAGAGATGTCTCTGCATGGCTGGGATGTCTTCACATTCACGGCTGGGGTCTTACACATCTGGGGACACCCAGAGTCTGGGCCAGTCTCAGATACATGGCAGATCCACAGGCTGCTGAGCTGAGGAAATGAGTGATCCACTGAATGGATGGATGGATGGATGGATGGATGGATGGACAGATGGATAGATGAATGTTACAACATATTCTTCAGGAATTTAAGACCCTGCCTCACCAGCAAAGGTAACTAAGTAAGATAAGCCTTAAGCCCCACATATAAAACCAAATGTACTCTACCCTCAGTTGACCTTTCCCAGAATAATTAGAGGGTAACCCACTCATGACACCATGTAGTGTGACCACAGTGTGGATGGGGGAATCGCTAAGCAACTGTTCTTAAGAATTTCTAGGGTTATTTTTTGGGTCTACCCGTAGTAAGTAGGCTGTTTATGCTTTTCTGCTCTGCAGTTTAGCTCTGAAACCATCTTCAAGGTCAAGTGAGACACCCTGGCCGTGGGCTGGCACAGAAGGGACTTCCTTTGTTAGAAGAGCGTGAAGATCAATCTGCAGGCTGTCTGTGGGCACACGTCAGAGAGCTGAGAAGCATTCCTCTCCAGGGAGTGTGGGCGACGGCGAGCAGGCCAGGCAGATTCTCCTATTTCATTGTGTAGTGCAGCCAGGCCCAGAAGCCAGGCCTCCCCACCCTCCATGTAAATAACCGCCTCGGGCTCCACCTCGGGGTTACCGTGGTAACCGCTGCAGCGGGGCTTCCTGGGCTGGCGCCCCTCCACCACCACCGCAGCCCGCTGCCTCGCGTGTTCTCCAGGTAACCTGCAAACGCGGCCCACTGTACTTCCTGCGCCCACAGCCAGAGACCAGCGGAGCAGGCGGGAGTCATTGTTTCCATCGCTGTGCGAGAACGGTATTTTTTTCTTCCTTAAACCACATCTCTCCAGCTCTCCCCTCGGAAAACAAACCCAAACTGCGAATATGTTTTCTTTAAAAACCTCAGTCAAATATCTTGGCAGGTTTGGCATTTTCTTTTAGCAGATTCCAGGAAACGGGTGCAGGAGTGCCTCATGACGCCCTGGCCTGCGGTCTCCAGACGACCCTCCCGTCCTGGCGGAGGGCAGCTAGGGGTCAGGTGCAAGGCTGAGTTGTGTCCTGTCGCCTTTTCCCCTGGTACACACACAAGTGTGTGTTCAGAGTCACTGATTTGCTCTTTCCTGTAAAGAAAACGAATGTTTCCTTATAGACTGATTGTGCATAGATGCTTCCTCACTCTCTGGGACCTTGTTTGTAGGACCTTGAAGGTCTTAGCAAAGGCACTAGGCTTATTCCTGGGGGCTGCTGGTGCCAGGACCACAGAGGAGGAGGCAGACTCACTGGTGGAGGACTCCCTCCCTCCTGAGAGCCTCTCTCCTAATCTGGCACCGGTATGTTGCCCAAGTGCCATGGTTAACTGTAATGGAGTCGACCTGATTGGTTTAAGTTGCGGCCAGGAAGTTTTAAAGCTCTCCTCTGGGCAGCCATGGCCGCATGATCTTGAGTCCATATCTGGTCCCTTGCCCCGTCCTCTCTGGTGCTGTCCCCTGCTCTGCTTCTCAGTTATGATGAACTAAAGAGCTTTGCTCCTCCACGTCCTCCTGCCGTGATGTTCGTGGATGCTGACCATGGACTGCATCCCCTGTATTGTGAGCCAATTAAACCTTTCTGGTGAGTATCAGTTGTTGGGTCCCAGCTGCTGGGAAAGTTGATGAATACACTAAGGTTTCGTAGCCAGAAACCTGCAATATCCAGGAATTCTACTTTTCTTCAAACCATTGGTCTATGGTATCAGGATCTAAGGGACATAGCTATGCCGTCCCCTCTCCGACTTTGCATGTGACTTTACATGTGATACACCTCCAGTGCCCCCGACAGCAGCAGCCTATGTGGCTTGGTCTTCCGTTTTGTTTATCCTCCCTAAAGTGGCCACGTCTCACAAACCCACCATCTTCTGTACGGGTTGAATTTCTGAAGTCCTCAGCAAAGCAAATTCCTGAACAGAGGCAAGAATCCTTCACCACCTTCTCAAGAAAAGACTCAAGAATGACAGGAGGTCACTCCCTCCTGGGGGGTAACTAGAAGGGGTTTCTACAGGTGCAGGGACCTGGGCATGGGCTTGACAACCCAGGAGCAATCGTCTCCTGGTTACCACTAGGGTAACGCTGATTGCCATTGCTGGGAGGACCGCATGTGTGTTCTCATTGAATCTTCTCAGATAGAAAAACTGAGGTTTAGCAAGAGTCATGAGTTATACAAGATGTAATCTCAAGACTCGTGAGCAGTAGGGTTTGGAGTCTGAACTCTCTGCTGTGGACCTCCCCACAGCCTGTGCACAGCAGAGCCGATACAAGTCCCATCATTACTGGGTGCTAACGTCCTGGCTGAGGAGGGCCAGGGACTCTCCTGGCCCCAGGAGTCCTCAAGGGAGCCAGCAGTGCCTCCCATGGTGTGTATTAATAACTGCTATGTATTAATATAATCCAGCAGGAAGAGGCAAAATCCTGTGACAGAATAAAGCCATGCCTTGTAACAAAAGTCAGACACAAAGATGTCACTAAGGGGGGTTGGTGCTCCGTAGGAGCCAACGAACCCATGGTCCCCAGCCTCCTGTCTTATGACATAAAATCCTGACTATCTTCCATCACCTTACATCTTGGGGAGTGTCACCCTTGGCGTCACTGCCACCCCAGCAATGTCCCTGACTGACCCTGCTTCCCCATATCCCTGTGACCAATATGCAACCAAGTTCTGTCTTCTTTTTACCTTCTACATGGTACAAAAGGCATTCAATTGTCTCCAGCAGCTCTGCTGCTACCTGAACTTGTAGATTGAAATAGCTGCCCATCTGGTCTACCCAGACCACAGTGTTGTTAACACAGGTGACTCTGCAGCCAGCAGGCTTGGCGGGAACATCGTCTGCTTGTTCCGGGTTTCCAGCTGCTTCTTTACAACAAGGGTCATCACAGTGCCTGTTGAATGGGGTGCTTCTATCGCACTTAAGCACTCTGAATGTATCGGGGACCTAGTGCATCAATCAGTGCCAACAACCATCAGTGCTCCCCAGCTGCCGGGAGTGAAGAACTTGGCTCCTCCGTGCATTCCACTGTATGCCCCTGCCGTCCACTCTCCTCTGTAGCCAGCTCGATTGCCTGACCACTCTGCTAAACCCTTCTCTCCACAGCTTTCCGACCTATAAAGACGCTAACATGAGACCCTTAGCATCCCTGAAGGTGAAGGTGATCGTAAATGGACCTCCTGCCACCCTTGAGCCTGGGAGGACGGAGCAAGGTCTGTGACACACTCGAGGACACTGGCAGATTCACAGCAGAACTGGGGAACATGCGGGTCCCGCTTATGCTTCGGGGAGGAGGTCAGTTGGGGAAGAGCATTCCTTTGAGAGACGGTTTACTGTGCAGCTCTCTGGAGTCTGCTGTTGTCCACTGCTTGGTTCATGCTCTAATACTTGGGAATCACATACTTTCCTCTCAGAGCCATAAAGGAACAGCGCTGACTTTGCCACAACCCCAAGAGAGGCGGAAAGGACAGGCATCAGGAAAAGTTGACTTAATGTGTCATCATTGTCCCCAGCAGGGTGACTTACAATCATTTCCTTTTTTGCCTCCGGAAAAACAGGCTCCAGTTTCAGCCTGGTGGAGCCCTGGCTGGCTGTCACCTTCCCCCGCCCTCTGCTCCCTGCACAGTGGCCAGGGATGTCTACGAATCCTTGCCACAGGCTATGCTTTGCAGACAGTCTGAGGGGCCATTCTGCTGGGCCAGAGATGGGGTTAAGCTTCCCGCCTGTAGACGCAAGATCACATCAGCCCCCAGGACCTGGCAGCCTCCTTGACACAAGGCTGCTCTTTTCATCTCCTGCCTTTTCTTTCCTGTCAGTGGGCTCTTAACCTCTCTTGGTACTGCAACTCTCTTGCTTTGGGACCTGCACCAATGTAGGGACCATTCAACCCAAGTGAGTCTGGCACAGGTGCAGTGCAAACAGGGTCCCTTGTGAATCAAGCACCTGGTTCCGGTGACGGAACTGGCTGGAACTGGGATTGCTTTGAAAGACATCACCTGCTTCTTTGCTGTCCCCGGGGGCTGGGGCTGGCTGGGTCATGGCAAGGACGTTGTCTAGAGTCACACAGAGGCCAACATGTTGTCAACACTCAGCAACTGAGTAAATACTCGGCTTGCTCACGCCTCCTTGGCTGTGCTCGGCTTGGTGACAGAAGGAGAGTTGTGGGACAGCAACTGACAGTTATGTCAGCACAGATGACTGCTCGGTCTGGGCAGCTGAGGCTCAGGGTCTGCAGAGCCAGGCTGTTTGTTCCCCACGGGAAGGGATGCTTGTCACCCACACCAACTGCTGTCAGTTGCATGGAGCCCTTGTATTTGACTGCGCTGAGTTGAAGGGCGGGACTCTTTGGTTATCATAATACAGGAAAGACAGGGCCAGAAGATGATTTCATAGCTGAGTGACTGAGTATGGGGCTGGTTCTGTAGACTTCCTACACCCCCGCCCTCCTCTAGTGGATGTGACAGTTTCGGGGCTCACCTGGGGCCAGAGCCCTTCAGTTAGAATTGTAAATGTGTTGCAGGCGATGAATCCAGCAATCAGGAAAATGAAAAAGAGTAGAGACCTAGATCTTCTGTGATGTCGGGACCTCCTGGGTTCCCCCCTGAATTTTCAGTCCTCCTTGGAGATCACGTAGGGAACAAAGTCTAGCCAAGGAGATCTAACTCGTTTTCTAAGAGCAGGTGGGGACACGGGTGGTGAGTGAGCAATAATCTTTGGGGACACAACTTGGTGATAAGGAGCTGAAGGTTCCTCTTGGGCAAAAGACCCGGCCCTCTGCTCTCGGAGCTTTTCCAAGGCTGGTTCATGAGAGAGAGAGCGGGGAGCAAGTCAGATAGGGCATGGAGGACCCGCACCCCAAATCAAAAATGTTCTCTTAAGGCTCCTGAGCTCAGCGAAGTGACTGAGACTCACCACTGCTCTAACACAGGAATGGGACAGTGTGGGAGCCATGTGACTGCTGTGACTTCATGTCTCTGCCCTTGCCTGGGGCTTGCTGCCTTGGCCCTTAGCCTAAGCTTTGCCCGCACGCCCCTGGCAGAAGTTCTGGTGATCATATGAGGCCTGGTTTCCTTCAAGATGAAAACAGTGGTATTGGTCAGCCAACAGATGATGGCCAGGACTTGACATCACTGTGCCCAGCACTGGGAAACTCCCTCTGGAGGCAAACCAACAGGGTCCTCGGGGGAAAAGAATGGAGCCTTGTGGTGAGGAACCTGCCACTCTGGGCAAAAATAGAGCTGTAGGAAAGCAAAAGTGCAACTGCCAGGAACTAGGTCTCCTGACAACCACCAGGGAAGGTGCCAGCCTGGAACTTGGGTCAGGAAGCCAAGCACACGGGAGGCCCTGGGCTGGGAGGACAGTGTGGGACGGGCGAGAAGATGCAGAGCCCAGGCCTGGGTTCTCTGCTCTTCCCTCGGAAAGGGCAGGTTATCTGACAGCTCTATGTGCTTGTCTGAGGGTGACCCCAATACCAGAAGTACGGAATCTACCGGAAGGACCTAGAGTACGTGGCTGCCATGTTGGGGGTGGAGACAGTGTCCTTCCCCTGAAATGTGAAGCGTGGCCCTTACATATTTCCATTTTCTTGTTCCCTGCCTCTTTCCCCTTATATATTAATTTCTTGAAAGTGTGGGTAGGGGCTGGGCATTTAGCTCAGCGGCATAAGCACCTGCCTTGCAAGCAGGTGATCATGAGTTCAATCCCCGGTACCGATAAAAAGAAAAAAAAAAATGTAAAAAAGAAAGCGTGGGTAGGTGCGATGAGTATTTATTTTTCTATTGATCTTCTTCGTATAAACCTTAAAAGAATGAGGGAAAATCCCATCTGTCCTGGTCGATGTTTTATAAATTTTCACGATACAGTTTCATCATAAGCTTATAAAAGTATATTTTTGAAACACAAGACAGATCTTCCACAGAGGATTATATCGTAATTGATGATAGTTAGAATAAACACACTCTGAGCCAATAAAATAGATTCTAACATGTTGGTTGAAAGATACACTGACTTTAAAAGGATTCTTTGACAACTCTTGTCTTCACATTTTGTCTAATATGTCGCAAAGAATTTGTTAGTCGCACAAAGCACCCTATTGACCTTTATAAGAACAAATGGTGCTAACGAAACTGCTTTGGCTGTTCTACAATCAGAATGTCACAAGACGGGTCCTGATACATTTTTGGTTTCAAAAATCAAGCTTCATTATGAACAAAAATATCAGGAAAAGACAGACTAGAAGCTCCTTGCTTGACTGCTGGTAACAATCTCCCTGAGAGGCACCGCGTAGGGTCCTTTATGTTGTGGATGTAGGTCAGCCAAGGACACTGAGCCTGGGTGACATTCAGAGCAGGTGTGGGGCCAGGAAGGAGGACAGTTCTTGATGTGAGCTCACAGCTGTAAAGAGGTGAGGAAGCCAGGCATTGGCAGAGCAAGGAACTGCTCCATCATGCACACAGTGGAGACTTGGATTGATTCTTCATATTCACTAAATGTCTCAAAATGAAAAAGGGCACTGGACGTATAAAATACAGTCCTCCCATCACCACATTTATGTTTTTGTTTTCTGTCTTTTCAGTTGCAATCAGTCAACTGCAATCTAAAAATATCCAGTGGAAAATTCCAGAAATAAATAAATTATTAGTTCTAAATTGTGAACATTTTGAGCAACAGGATGAAATCGTGCTCCATCCTGCTCTATCCTACTTGGCACTTAAGCAGTTCCTTTGCCCAGAGTTTCCATGCTATATATGCTTCCTTCCCATTAGTCACTGAGCAGCTGCTGGCATTGTCGTAGCCACTGTTGGTTACTGAATTGCTTATGTTCAAGTAAGAAGATCAGTCGTAGCCAAACACTATGCCACAATGCCCATATCATTCACTTCACACACCTTAGGGCATAACGAATTCATCTTTCATCCTCACAAGAGGGGTAGGTATAGTACAATAAGATAGGTCAGAGAGAGAGAGAACATTCGTATAACTTTTATTATAGTACATTGTTGTGATTCCTTTCTTTCTTCTACAGATTAGGTCGTTGTCCTGCCAGTGGGTCCCTCCACTCTCCTGCTGGTCTCCTGCACAAGGTGCCTGCAGTTACTGAAAGCTACAGGTGACATTTTAGTACTAACCTCCATGTGTCCCTGGGAAACATTTCTTCACTCTGGGAACTGGAACCTCTAGATTCAGAAATCCTGAAACTTTACTCACATGAGCACACATTCTGTAAGAGGGTCCCTGGTAGGGATGGAAAATGGGGCCATTTCTATACCCAGCCTTTGCTCCTGGATCCACAGTACTCACAGTGGATACATCAGCATGTAGTGATCATTATTTTGTCTACCCTACAGCTGGCACGATGTCCTTCTCTATTGTCTGGGCAGCTTATAAACTTGCACCCAAATCCATCACTAGGAGATCATAGCTCTGTCTTTTCGGTGGGTGACTCCTTAGCAGGTGCTGTGTGTGATAGAACCAGGTGGTCTCACAGCCTTTGTGTCCCCTCATCTGGGGAGTGAACACTCAGTAGTTGTCAGATAGTGGTGCTGATGGAGACCCTGTGGGTAGCAAAGACAAACCCTGTGGCGTTAATTCTTGCTTCTTCCAGGATGAAGTTCTGGTCACTCAGGCAATGGGCAGCCCAGTTGACCCCATTCACCTCTGGCATCCAAGGTGTGGACATCCAGCAGAAGTACTAACTCCATTAGCTGTGGTGGGGGAACCCTGCTGCAAGCCCAGGGGTGCCTCTTTCCTCAAACTGGGCTATTGTCTCTGTGACCATGCTGTGTCAACAATGGTCAGTAAGTAGCTGGGTGTGTTTTGTCAATTTGTGCCTTTGTGCCTATTAAGGGCCACTTATGCACTCCTCAAAATTCATAAGTAGAAATTCTAGGCCTTAATGTGACTGTATTTTGAGGCAGGGCCTTACTGGGGACCTGGCCGAGATCCCCATTACCTGTCTGAGGGGTACAGTGAAGGACAGAATAAGGGACAGAGACACATTAATGATGCACGATGGGGGGCTGGGAGGTCAGTGCCTCAGGACGGGCAAAGACCCCGATCATACAAATCAGCCACTATTTCCTGGGTGTGGACAGTGCAAGGGGTGTGTGCAATGGTAGGAGGGGCGAGGACAAGACTCAGAGGGCAGTGACACTGCAGGCGATGGGTAACCCTGGACGACCCAAGAGGGTGGGGATGCACCTGTGCTAACAAGGACCTTGCTCTGGAGTGTTCTTTCTCATTTTAGTAGTTTTAGTTTAGTTTTAGTGGGTGGGAGAGGATGGCTTATCCCAAGAGTTAATGGGAAGTCTCCAAAGGGTGATACATAATCCTAAACCTCCATTCATCCCTCATCAAGGATGCAGAATTAGCTCTTGTGAATTCCTGGTCCAAACAGGCCTTTGGTTGAAGTGATAATTAAGATTAAATCAGGTCATAAGAGTGGGGCCCTAATGCACTAGGACTGATTTTGTCTTTTTAAGAGTGAAAATGTATCAGGGATGCGAATACCAGAGAAAAGGCCAGGTGAGGACACAGCAAGAGGGACCAAGCCGACTCAGAAGGGTCAGATGCATCCACTGGAGCCCTGAGCCCCTGCTATCATAATGCATCTGATCCTTCTGAGTCTGCGTGGTCCTGACCCCAAGTGACCATTCTTGTGTCGTGGTGGATTACTGCCGAGCTGTGCAGCTGTGTAACTTGAGGATCGCAGAGCTCAGCTTGCTGTTGAGCCGTGGTGTTACTAGATGCCTGGGGATGAGTCCTTCCATCTCCACTGGGACCCAGGAGCACATCGGGGTCTGCATTTGAATGTGTTTCTCTGAAGTCCATGGTTTTGCTCCAGAACCTAGGGGACTTCGTGGTGATCTTCTAGTGGGGCTCATCCAGAGGTCTCTATCCATCACGGATGCCTCTTCTAATGAGAGGGCCATCGCACTGCACACCAGTTAGGACAAGACTTCCACTGCTACCTGCACCTTGTGTGGAATCATTTCCTTCTTGGGTCACACCCAAAGGGGCTGCTGTCCAGAACTGTGGTACTGCCCCGCCTGGAAGAGCCTTCCAGGAACAAGCTTCCTTCCCAGCAGTGGGAGGAAGGAGCTGTGATTGCTTTTTTTCTCTTCTCCAGAGGAATGTTGCCACATGCCTAATCCACTCAGGCCCCAAATCCTGAGTCTTCACAGTTTAGTCTCCAGAGAGTATATGTCCTGCCAGTGTCACAGGCAGCTGAGTTAATTAGAAATATTTTATACAGTCAGACAGGGCTGGGCCCTCAAGCCAGAAAAGGCCAGATCCATTGCAACGTTGGAGAAGACAGAAACCTCTGCCGTGGGCCAGAGGTGGGTTGGGGATTTAGCTCAGTGCACAAGCACCCACCTAGCAAGCATGAGGTGGTGAGTTCCATCCCTGGTACAAAAAGAAAAAAAAAGACAAGAGGAAAAACGAATGCACCCACCCCCTAACTATAAAACTCAGGGCTTGATATTCTAAACAGGTACCCCTCACTTTGAAGAAGCCAGAGGAGCCCCTAACACCCCCGCCGGCCAGCAAGGACCTTGTTCTGTATTCGTGCCTATTTGCTATGCGACACACTTCCCCATTTGATCCTGATTTAATCAATCTTACCTGGGCAATTACACTTATAATTTTACTGGCTGAGCATAGTCTGTCCCACCCTAGGGGACACCTCATGAGTTCCCTTTTTCCTATCCTGAACTCCTCTTACCCCATGATACTACTTTATAAAAGTCCCTAGAAAAGACAGAGTCTTTGGCAACATGCCCAGGACCCCGTCTGTCTCTCTCAGACAGAAACTTTCTTTCTCCCAATAAATATGGTCTGTTGTTTCTAAAATTTATTCTTCAATTTTAGAGAACACAAACTTGTACTGGACATCTAGCAGGTTGGGGGTTTCTCCTCCTGGATCACTAGGACCTCCAATGCACTAATTTCTTTGTTCCAGTGAGCAGGATGGCATCCAGGTCATGGCCCAGCGTGGTGTTCTCCAGAATGTCCCGATGGGAGGTTGACAGTGGGTTTTCTGTCAAGGGCTGGAATGTAAAGCTTTCGGGCTGTGCAAGCTCACGCATTCTTTGGTACATTCAGTCTGTCCCTGTTTTTTTGCAATCCTTTAAAAATTTTAAAAGTAAAAGCCAGGTTGAGCCCTCAATCTATACAAAAAAAAAAAAACAGGCTGTGGCTAGGTTGGGCCAGCCCTGGTGTAGATGTCCCAGGTACCCTGAGGTGGCGTGATGCAGACCAGTAAGGACAGAGGGTCAGCCCAGGCCTCGGGCAGCGCTGTGAACACCTCCGTCCCCCGGGGCAGGACAGCTTCTCCTCTTCCTCACCAGGAAGGGGGAGGAGCTCACATGCCCTGGTCAGGGGCAGCGCCCGGAGATGCTGTGCCAGTGTCTCTGGCAGGGGTGCTGCCCACAACCAGGGTTACAAAGGAGGTCCACTCTGCGGCCCACTGGCTTCTGCAGGGGCCACCCTGGGGGTGGGGACATGACTGAGACACTGTCCCTGCCTCCTTTAAATTACTGGTGGTGGCCCTGAGCCCCACCTTTTCCCTAGAGAGGTCCCTCTGGTTTTGATTTCCTTTTTCAGTGCACCATTTTGGTGAAGGTAACAGGTGGGAGAAAGTTCTCAGAGCATCTATTTGATTTTTCCTTTCCAGTAGGGAAGCACAGGTGACTCACGCTAAGGGTCCTGCCAGCTACCAAGGATCTCCATCCCAACTCTGTACTCAGTCAGAAGAAAAGGGCTGCTGAGTGGTCCACGGTCTATGAATCTGTTATGAGCAGGGAGCTGTTTAGGACTAAGTTGCAGTTGTCACCGTCATTAGGCACCTGGCATCTATCAGCCTGGGCTTCCCCCTCCTCCCAAGCATGGTTATTTGAGTGTCCGGGTAGGGCTGAGATCCATGAGCCCACAGCAGTAGCCTGCTCACTGATGTCCTCCTCCTCTCCTGCCCTCTGGATCCCAGTGAATTTCCTGCCAGAAAAACCCCTTCTAAAGTCAGCTTGTGGGGACCTCGTGCTAAGACGTGTAAATTGCTCTGAAGAGCAGGGACAGGTGCACCCAGTCAGTGGGAGCGATGCCAGAATGAGACCCCACAGCCGAGACAGCACGCTGCCACGCACCCCTGCGTCCTTCTCCTTACCTCTGCCACTGTGGGACGTCCACTTCACACTCCACGGAAGGGTCCTTCAGCGTCACTGCAGCGGGCCATTCCTTCCTGCCTGCTGTGCAAAGGGCACTTAGAAACAGCAAATTTCTTATCTATTGTCCCTTCCAGGACTGAGAAGCTGGCTCACGTCTGACTGAGGCTGGTGATGCAGCACATAGGGGAAGGCTAAGGGGGGCGCGCCCACCTACCTTGGGAACCCCGCCAAGAGTCCTGGTGTCTGCCTCCAGAATGCTGCGAGAAAAACAAAAAACAGAGACAAGCCTTCCTTCAGTGGCTGAAAGCCAATGTCTCTGGATGCGACCTCTCCCAGCCCACAGCAGCCACTCTTGATTAGCTGTGCACAGGGACGGGCGGGGCTAGCATGGGGTTACAACTGCGACTCCAGGAGGCACAGATAATCTGATGCTGAAAAGGATCTTGACCTGAGTATAATCCAATGATGGCTCAAGAAGGTGAGATCGCCCATGCTTGGAAGAGTCCGTGAGAAATCCCAGGTGGGCAGGACCGACAGTCCCAGTCCTTCCTCTCATCCCACAGGGGAACGCACAAAACCAGTCACTGTGAATCTGTGGGCCCCAACCCCGACAGCCTCACGGTGACACAGTGGATACTCCAGTTATTTATTTTTTTGTTTTTTATTTTAAAGAGAAAAAAACAGAAAAATCCAGAAGCAAATAAACAATTAAAAAACAACAAAAGCAAAATGATGACAACAACAGAAACCAATGGCAATATAGGATTTCAAAACAAGATGATAGAAATCTAACTATGTTGCTATGTTGTATATTGTTATCCTCCAAGTAATTGCCCAGGCTACCAGATACAGGCAAGCAAGATTGATCAAACAATGCAATTTCCCTTTGAGCAGTTTCTTTCCCTTTGCTATATTGTCTGCAACTTTTGGATCTTATTTACTCTTCCAGATTTTTACACTAGTGAGACAATATGGTGTTTACACATGCAAGTCTGACTTATTTTACTTATAAGTATGTTTTCTGGTTGCTTTCATTTATAACAGTCTCGAGTTTATCATTCTTCATGGCTGAGTAGTACTCCACATTGGTTGATGTTAATTTGGGTTGTTTCCAAGATGTAGCTGTTACACATTGTGCTGCTGTACGCATGGGTGCACATGTACGCATGGGTGCACATGCACACAACTGATACCCTAAAGTGCACCATGCTGCTGATGTGGGGCTTGCTAAGTGAAGAGTATTAAATGATGAAGCCATGGTGCTCAGCTGTGTGAGCAAACGTGGATCTGGATGTCCTCGTATCAGAGGCAGCTAAGTTAGCTAGAAATATTCTAGGCAGTCAGGCAGGGCTGGGCCCTCACATGAGCCAGTGCAGAAGCCCAGATATCTTGTGATCTTGGAGGAGGCAGACACCTCTGCTGTGGGCCGGACCTCAAGACAAAAGGCCAAACAAATGCAGCCACACCCTAAGGATAAGCATGAGTATCGGGATTGTGTGGGTCACCTTGAGAAAACCAAGAGTCACCATCTCAAGCCCCTGCCCTTAAGTCTGCTCTCTGGCTGCTTGACTGGCTTCCCCATTCATCCCTGATTTGGTCAGTTTTACCTGAATAATTAATCTTATTGTTTGACCGTAGCTCTGTCCCACCTCATGCCCGTCTGCCTTGCAAGTTCCCAGTTTTCCCCCACTTTTGACCTGCCTCACCTCATGGTTTTACTCTGTAAAAATCCCGAGAAAATATAGTCTTTGGCAACCCTCTGGGAACCCCTTCTGTCTCTCTCCCAGACAGAAGCTTTTTTCTCTCAATAAATATATCCTGCTATTAACCTCAGTTGTTCCTAAAATTCATTCTTTGATTTTAGAGAATGTGAACTCGTACTGAACCTCTAGTCGGTTGGGAGTTTCATTCCCCTGTATCCCTGGGGAAGATATTGTTTCAGACAAGGTAAACACCGAAATCAGCAGACATTAAGGTGAGCTGATTAGGGTTCAGGGCGTGTTGGAACTCCTCCAATCAGTGGAAGGCCTTAGAGGAAAGACAGAAGGCCCTGCAGGGGAAGGAATTGTGTTTCTGTGTGGGCTTTGGACTCCAGACCATGGCATGGACTTCTACGAGAG